GAATCATGAATGTGTATAGATATGACTCATGCCAATAAGTAGATTTTATCTCCCCTGGGGTTTTCATCAGAGGCATCTCGATTTCAAAGTTGTGGATTCGCAACGTGCGCCCAAACAGGTACCAATGGATGCTACATGCTTTATCTACCAGTTTGCCTATATTTTGAGCAACAGTTTAACAGAAACAGCCTTCTCAAGAGGTTTTGAGATGTCGGTGGAGAAAAAGTCTGAGAAAAAGTTGTCTCTAATTTTGTGAGCGAACTTTTTTTTTTCAAATTTTGTTTTGTTATTTTTTTGTTTTTTGACATTCTAATAAAGTTAATGTTCATATCAGATTCAGTCTTTAGTGTTAATTTACCACTCCGGGCCACTGTTGCAAATCTGCAACATCCCAGAATTCATTGCATGTGAAGGTCTCTCTCAAAAAAAAGTCTGAATTGTATATTATTACTACCCCATATGATAATTTTTCCAAATATCAGATTTTTCCTGCAACTAAAACTTAATTTGAGCCTGAGAGGGTAAATTTAAGAAATGTTTACTTATTTCTAGATCATTTTTGCTTTGTTTATCTGGTCAGAGTTGCTGAGAAGATGGAAGGCGCTTAAAAATTGTAGCTAAACACCTCCTAGAGGCTGAAACAAGACCTGGATGGAGATTCATGCTCCAATGGATGCCCAAAAACAAAAAGTCTGATATAAAAGTAGTGGTTTGGTTTGCCTTCTTAAAAGGTAAGGGTGTTTTTAGCATCTAAAAACATGAACTTCTGAGTTTTATGTTATTTGAGGACACGGTAATGATTCATCCTTAGGGCTTAGAAAGGTTTCAGCATTATTTGTGCTTATATTTCTGCATTATTCATGTCTGGTTAAAAACAAAACAAAACACGTCTTTGTTAATAGTCAGATTATGCTGAAGAATTTAGTCAATAAGCAGACAGAAAAGGGCAGTACAGCAACTGAAAAATACTTTTCTATTAATAAATGTGATTCTTATTTTCACCACATTAAGTATTAACTCACCTAAAATATTCACAGGAGTAGTAACTGACAACACAGAGTATGTTTGTCTCTTTGTATCCCAGGATGCTCTGCAGGAGTACATTCCTTGATCCCTCAGGGTCACATGGGGGAGGCGTAGATATAAGCTGCTCCCGTTCTGTACCATCACTTCAGTTCCATCTCTGTACAGGACCGTCTGATGGACGGGAACCTGCCCTCGGACACGGCACAGCAAATGGGGGCTATCTCCAACAAGAATAGGGTGTTGTGGTGTTTCCAAGATGACAAACCCACCTAAAAAAAAACAAAGAAGAAGGTTTCCTGTTAGTCAAACTGTGGAGTCAGTCTAATACTTTTATTTGAAATAGCGATAATCTTTTTTTGCATTGCAGTGCTAAAGAAGAACATGACCAGGCAAGGAGTAGGGTGATGGTTTGAAAGTTTTTTAATTTGGGAAAGAGGAATAAACACGGATATACAAAAACGCTTCTTTCTTGATTAGAAAAAAATAACTTACCATCAACATTGATCTCTACAGGTGGACTTCTGTGTGTTTTTATGCTTCCTATCTGCGTCTCCTTCTCTCCTTGGCAGGAATATTTGCCGCTCTCTTTAATGTTGGCCTTCCACAGCGGGAATATTTCCCCAGACTGTGGAAGCTGCACAGATCCCCTGAACCAAAGGTAATTCCATGTGGACTTGTAGAAATCATCAATGTTGCATCTCAAGCGTAGAGGTTCCCCGCTGAATATACGGCTCCTCCCAGAAACTATTTCAACAACTGACCTATATGGCGCCACAGTGGGAACTGGACAGGAAATAACACAAGGGTGAAAAACCATTGAAAAACAGCTCTGATTCTTTTATGTAGCAGAAGCATAAACTATAAATTAAAGAACCTTAATCAGTTTAATCAATCAATTTAAGGGGAGATTAATGATATAGTTGTATTTAGTACTTACCCTCAGACACAACCAGGTGTGGTAAAACTGCAAGAACTGAAGCAGAATAATTAAGCATTAATATGTCAACATATTAGCAAATATCTTAAATGAGACCAAAGCAGTAAACCAAAGTAAACCTACTGAGGAGGGAAATTACTGCATCCATTGCGCTCACTTCGTCTGTTCGACACAGAAGGGACAGGATTTTTTTATCGTAATAAAAAGAGAAGTGGAACTTTCTTCACACAGGATATCCTGTTTTCCAATAAATGCTGCCCTGATCAATTCCTACATTTAGTTTAATGCAGAAGTGCTTCATTTTCATTGAGCTTTATTTCGAAACATCAAAATTTTTTTGAAAGTGTACCAGATAAGTAATCAAAATTCAATTACACTGAACCGAAAAAATAAACCCATCAATTTTGTTGTTGCTCCCACTTTCCATGAGTTGAACCCAAATAGTTTTTCTAAGTAGAGAAAATTTCTCTCTTTTTTCTGAAATATTCTTATATTGAGTTATTCATGAATGTACCTTAGTAGAAAGAGGAAGTGCTGAAAATTGTCCCCAGTACTTAAACTTATTTAACTATTTAAATCAGGTTTAAAAACAGCTGAAGCATTGAAATACTTGCAGTTATATAACACTTTAATATTCCTGTTTAATTTTAATTGTGTGCAACGTTGGAGGGTTTGATGTAAATAAGGATCTAGTACGTCTTGGGTGTAGCGAATTAAGAGACGTCTACCTAAAAGCAGCCCATGAATCAAAGGCCTTGTTAACTTCAATGAATTTCACTCTATGATACACAGATATTCTATCCTCACAGATTGTGATCCACTCACCTCAGCATACCGAAGGCTTGAATGAGCTGAAGCAACAGAGTAGTTTGTCATAATTTCTCATGAATTCTGGGGAAATGAAAGACGGTGGAGCACTAAACCTTCAGCCCAAAAAGGAGTGACCATTTAACCTGAAGAAGCAGCTTCTTTCCTGGAAATTTGCTGGAAAATGTATAATAGCAACTGAGGTAGTTGAAAAACTGTTTTGTCTGTGTTTTGTACATTATATAGTTATTGGGGTAAATGGTGCTTTGGTTCCAGCATAGAAATCCCTTTTAATACTTTTAGTATTAAAAATCATATATAAATCCTGTGTTAACCATCTTGGGCTGAAAATTGTGCTCTATATGCTGGTGAAGATTCTCAGTCATCCAGGTCATAGTCATTCAGAATCAGCTCTAGCTTTGTGATATTTTGAATTGAAAAAGCTTATTGGATGGGAAGCGAAACATCTTCAAACTTGGAAACAAGTCCAGTGGGTTGATTTTTAACTTTTTTTTTTTAATCTGGGCTCTATACTTGGTCTATTAACGCTCTCTATTGGTCAATTAAACAATTAACATTAATTTTAAAAAAGGCCTAAAGATGGCCTCTTCAAATATTTAGACTTCATTACATGCAATTAGATTATTACAAGTTAATATCAGGTAATTGGTATGCATTCGAAATAAAACACATAAATAACATGTTTGAGTTTAATATTGTTTTTTTTCTATCTGTCAAAAAAGCCCAGCTTAACTGCAAAAATATCACATGAACAGGAAAAAGAAACTTAATAACACAGTTATGAAATGCTGTAACTGAGGTGGGGAACAGAAAAAATGCTGTCATGGCAAATTATAGGAAATGTTGCCACAGAGTAGCACTAAATTCACACACAATATTTAAAACACTTCTTAATGTTTGGATTCTACACCATACATGGCAGGAGATAAAGTGTGACAGAAACCTAAAACTCTACATTTGAGGACATATGTCAGAAAAAGACTTACCGTAATATACTTTAAAGCATTTCGCCCTGAGTGCGGCTTAAAAGTCATTTGGAACTGCAAAATGTTATATAACTTTTTTGTGAAACATAACCTACTATATTTTTGTTAAATATCTGCCATAGAAAATCTCTTACTATCTAAAAAAACAAACTTTATTAGTCTTTTTAGCTTTTAAATAAGGATTTTCTTCTATAACATATTATCTGATGTAAAAAAAAAAGTAATAAAACATCATTTCCAAGCTAAATAAAAGAATATTTTATCTAAAATTGTATTTCTGGTTGTGATATTCAAATCAAATATTTGTTTTAAAAACACTAAAGATTCTAAGACTGGAATTTGTTTTTGTGGTAGTGGTAAAATAGTTCAAGAGCCATTGTAGAGGGTCTGCAGGTTGCACACCCCTGCTTTAAGGCAACTTTTTAATACAAAAAAATGAACTAAATGAGCTGTTGACGTGGAAAAATGTTTCTGCTCAACCATCTACTTAAGAAAAGAGAATTTAGGTTACTTTGACTTGGGTCGAAGCATTCATCCTTTGTTATCTGCATTCTTAGTTCAACGTTCTGAAATCACCCTTCATGTTTTTCGACTCAGCAAAACTGAAGAATGATTTCATTTGACCCCAAATCTGAGGAAGAATCTCCCAGTTAAGGGTGCCGATATTAGTCACAATCAATGGCAACTACACACATAGAAGTACAGAGTTTCATTTTTATTAATCATCATTGCACTCCTGCAGATGTAGGTAGAACAAAACTGCCCCAATAAATTAAAGTTTTAAATTAAAGGCAGTTTTGAGTTAATCTCTCAGACCTGAAACTACAACAAAACTACAATCAAACACTTGGTTTGAAACACTTGTTCATCAAGTTCAGGTTTCAGTGCAAAATTAAAAGGTCGATCAAGCTAGAGCAACGCATTGCAAGACCCTATTGTCAAACTGAAGGTGCTTACCACTCTTAGGTTACAAATATCATTCAAAGTAAAACAATAATCTTAAAAGAAAAAAAAAACCTAAGCAAATGAGAAAATGGAAAATAAGCCTCTCACATGCTTTTTCCTTCCAAACAAACAGGAAATGTTCTTTTCCACTGAGTCTGCCAAAATACAATGACATGGAAACAAGCAACAATCTTTACCATCTTTCTCACCAGAAAGATGAACTTTCGTTTCAAATGAGAAGCCTTAAAAAAAAACAAGAAACAAGGTGCAGCACAACATTTAAAAAGTAATTATGTCCTGCTTTTGAAGAAAAACAGTAACATGTAAAGTAAATAAAAGCTTTGATGGAGTAAATGATGATCAAAGACACTATTTTAAGTAGCCTCTTAAAAACAAGATTATTCATAATTCAGATCACATAAAGTTAAATTTAAAGGTAAATTCATCAAAGGAGGAGGGGTTTCTGAAACTTTGTAGAAAAATATAATCTGAGCATCCAAGCTGATGACATTTGGATGTCCTAATGGAGAACTTAGTGAGTGTTCATTTTGAAGTAAACAGCACATATGCATGCCTATCCATGCACAATTCCTGCACACACATCCTCTCATTTGCTCCTTGATTATTTCAGGAAAAAATTAGCTAAATTCAGCACAAATCACAAGTATGACTTGAAGAGCGATGTCAGTGAGTGGGGAGTCATTTGTTGCTGGTTTACAAACCATAGTTCTCTGTTCTGTTGTTTGAAAGTTTACTGGACATCTCACATCATGCCTGAAGGTTAAGGGATCAAACACACCATTTATCAGTACTGCACAAATGTAACAGCTATAAAAAAGTACTGAGGTACTGCAAGTAGTGGATGACAATAGGATATGTTTGGAAGAGCTTATAGTGGAGTGTTTTCCTCCTTTGTAATGAAAGGAGCCACATCAGAGGATCAGGACGTTCTGCCCCGACTCTCTGCAATACTCCATCTCATGTGGAGCTAAGATTACATTTCATCACTTATTTGCCTTTTCTTTGGTGAGGTAAAAGAGAAGATCACTGAGACTTTACTATTGCATGTGTGAGCAGCTTTGCCTTAAAATTTGGTTTCCAACTCCTTTCTCTGCAGCTCATGGCTATGGCTGCAGCTTAAAACGGATCGTCTCTTTTAACTCTCTGCAAGAATGGAAATAAGCACAGCTACTAAAATCCCAACAGTTACGTCACTGTTCAACGTGTTTTTACAGTCTTTAAGGTAACAGAAAGATGGAACAAACATGGCCGTATCTATACAGATTCAACAGACGCTTCGTGTGCATATGGAGTGTAGAAAGAGACGGAGTAGAACCTCCATGCTAACTCCTGCAAAACTGACGGGAGTCCCATCAGCCAGCAAACACCTGAGGCTGCAGCGGCGGGGGCAGCCGCTCATTCTCCACATTGTCAGAGTCGATGGCCGACGATGCTGTGGATGCTGCGCCACTGGCTGCATCTGCTGTGGAGTTTTGTGGCTCAAGCGGAAAGCTCTCCATCTCGCTCTGCACTTTCTGCTCCACCTCATCTGTCCAGTCTATCAGGTCGTTCTCCAGCTGCCGAGCCTTCTCTATGACCCGCTCCTGCCTCTCATTGAGCCCAGTTAGCAGGTCCAGACTGCTGTGGACTTGGCTACGAGCTGCACTTCCTGAGGATGAGGAGGCTGCAGCAGGCTGCGGCCAGTTTGGGGACGTCTGGCCCGACATGTAGAGCTCAAACTCCTCAGTGGTCATGTTCAGAGACTGGCCATCAAGTTTCTCTATGAAAGCTACTGCACAGCACTGTGGAGAGAAGGCACAGAGTCTCATCAATAAAAATGATGTAACCCACCTAACAGCAACACACTTCACTCTTACATGTACTCAGATGATAAATAACGTCAGAAATGAGGGAGGAATTATTCTGTGTATCAACAGCGCCCTCTGCTGGATGCTTTCAGTTAATTTAAAAAGCTCTGACTTCAGAGAGTCAACCTGTCTACATCCTGATTAAACATACTGCAAACATACATCACTGACTTAAGAAACAAAATAGAAATATTTCTTTTTAAACAGAGGCAACAGATGTTTTGTAAAAAGTCACAATTCCTTGACATTAACTCACAGATCTTTTTAAGTCAGTTTTTATAAAATTAGTTCCAGCCAAAGTTCATTAAGATCTTACAGTAGTAATGAGGTAAATGACTAGTCTACAAAAAAACCCTGCAGGGACAGCTAGAGAGACATAGAGCTGGATAGAGGGACTGGAGGAAGGAGTGATTGATAGACATCTGGCTGATTGGATGAGAGGATGGAAGGAGGGATGGACAGACAGAGGAACGGACTGACAGACAGACAGATAGATGGTCCAAATAGGTGAAGAGATATACTTCTAAGGTGCGTCTTTGTCCCCTAATGTCTAAATGTATGCACTCACATTAGCTCATCTATAGCTGATATATTAAGCTTTGAGAATAACGCCTGCATTTACTCCTCTTAGTGAAAAAAAAAAACAAAACATGGCAGTTGAACTTTTTCGAAGACTTGTGTTGTCCAGGAATTAAAAAACGATTGCTTTGCAACTACTCCACTACATTGATGGATAGAGAAATACCTTTAGGACTGAGTTTAATCTCTTCATGATTTATTGCTGCATTTAACCCCTATGAATACAGCTGCAGCACCACAGCCTGTAATAAACATTTGGTGAGATGCTGCGGTTTATAACTGCTAAAACTGTAATAAAAAGCAGGAACTGTGAGCAACATGCAACACGCTGAGGGTGGAGGGAGCCACAGCTCAAATATTTTAAAGTATTTCTGCTTTTCTACACAGCCAGGCTAGAGTTTGAATTAATTTGATTGGATAAAGGATGAGAGAAAAAGTGATGATTTGCTACAGGGGGCAGAAAGCGTCGCCAACAGGGGAATATTTGAGCAACAATGAGCATGAAATGAAATGGCTTTAGGTGTCTAGTGGTCTCATTTATAAAGCCTGCATACACACCAAATAGGGACTGAAACTTGTGTACAATGACCTCAATGCAAATGTTATGATCTGTAAAAAAAAAAAAAAAAAAAAAAAAATAGGTGTGAAAATGTGGTCCGTCACACCAACTCTGATCATCCAAACAGGTACTTCGATTTTCAAGAGTGGGGAAATTTGGTGGCGCATATGGTGACCGAGGGGTGAAACTGAAACCAGATTGCATCATTATTTATCTCTGACATTTAATTTCACTTCATATGAAACTTTAATCGCATATCAACTTTATTTAATCTGAAACCGCAGTGTGATACATGCTGGTACTGCCTGGCCAACCTGTTCGTAGCTGTGATTTAAAGGAAAATCGATGGGTTTTCTAAGTGAGCAGGGTTTGTAAATCTGGATTTTTTTGGAGCTTGCACCAGTTTTGGATGTTTGGAGTACATACACTTTTATTATGGATCCTATACAGTGTTTTAGAAAAAAAGACCCCTTGTCCAAGCAAAAACCTCAGAACAATAGGTCTGAAAAAGGCTAATTATTCTTCCTAACAAAACAGTGCTTACTAGTTATTTAAAGTTTTGCCACAAAGTCAGACCTTATTTTATCAAAGTTTATAGGAAAAAAACATTAAGAAAGCTAAAGATTCATTATCTTTTTAGAACAAATGAATACAAAGCATATCTTTTAATATAATTTTACATTTATCAAACAAGCTGCCATCTAAGTAGGCTAATTGGCGATGCTTTCTTTTACAGTATATCAATAACCATGTAAAAACATGGTAATAACATTGCCAGTTACACTATACTACTGGTTAGCAAGAAAAACTTTATTGAGAATTTTAGTAAGTTCTGTGCTTCAAATCTTTGTCAGACAAAGTAAAGTCTGACTTCTAAGATTTCAAACAGTTCTTACCGAGTAACTCAGCATTAAATGAATGTATCATTATCTAGTAAAATGCAGTTTATTACTTGGCATGTAACAGAAAACCAAACCTAGAAAACAGCATGCCAATCTTCTTACCTAAAATCTTATTTATATGTAACTTGAGTTCAGTTTTATAATGCTTTAGTTGCTTGATCATAAGTTACAATTTACTTTGTAAGCCCTTGATAAGTGGTGGCCAATAATAGAAACTGTTATGTGGGAACCTAACAGTAATTACTCACCAAAAGTCTCCAAATAATAACCAAATAAAGTTTTACTTGTTACCTAGTAATACAGTGTTACTTGCTATGTTATTACCATGTTGTTACATAGTTATTGATGTAATGTTAAAGAGCATTAACGGCTAATTTGGCCTCAGTCTGGACTCTACCTGAGGCTTCCACATATGGGTTATGCACTCTACGGCTAAGCCATGTTCCATATATTTCTTTTTCTTCCTTTATTAAATAACTCTGCCTACAGTCCACATTACATTTCCAACACCTCTAACTTGATTTTTTTTTTTTATACAAAGGATGTAAACTTAAAAACCCCTTGAAATTCTGGACCTGATGATGAAAGATGGGCTGTATTTTCCCATACTGCTAAAGAGGCAGACACGCCACAGAAAGTGCTTATTTCCTCACCAGATTAGTGAAGTAGTATCCATCCTCTCCACTCATCAGTCTGCTGGGGTTGCAGAAACGGGTGATGTATTGGATGTTGGACTGCAGCCGCGGAGGGTTCGCTTTCAGCACGATGTAAATGAGAGTTGGGAGGAAGTCGTCGGCTGATGCAGCCTCCTTCTTGCTCACTTTGATGGCGTTAAAGATGTGCTTGCTGCACCGAGTGATGCATGCTAGCTTGCTCTTGGGTACTTGCTTTGAGTCCATTTCGATTATATCTAAAATTGGGCAGAGATATTAGAAGGAGGGGTCTAAACTGAGCAACAAGGCAACATAACCCAGTGTGAGACTCGCCTGTAATAGCTTTTACAACACTGTCCGAGACCTCAGGGATCTCTTCATCCACTGGCACACACAGCATCTCTATGGTAACCCAGTGCAAATCCCTAAAAAAAAAAAAAAAAAAGCACACGCAGGATAATGTGGCATTTCCACTCACCCGTCTTTAACTATTTTGAAAGTAGGAGCTAATGATTGCAAACCTGATTCTCTTCTGAATAACCAAATCTTTATTCTCATCATCTGTGGTATCAGGACAGAACACATCTGTGTAAAGTCTTGTCATCATGTACTTCTCCACTTCATCCATAACCCTTTCCACAAGCTCTGACGAACCTGAAACCCAAAAAAGATGAAAAGGCACTGCTGAGGCATAAAATGTATATTATTTTTTAGGAGGAATGGAGCACCTTTGAACTGGTTCTGAAGGCGCTCCGACAGGTTCTGGTAGAAGTCTTGCACATTCTCTGATAGTTCATCAGCTCCCATGTCCTGAAAAGGGAAAGAAAATCTAAATTTTACCTGAGACACAAACAGGTTTCACAGTAAATGTCAAATTAATGATTTATTTCAATGGATAAACCAAACGACTTATAAAAAAAACATTTTTTTATATTTTCAACATAAAAACCAAAAACATAAGGAAATTCCCCTTTATGGTTCCTAAAAGGAATTTTTTAAGGATAAACATCTAAAGTGAAGATTTAAAAACATTTTAAACAGAAACAAATCAGCATGTCTTTTTTTTTATATAAAGTGTCCTGAAAAACTCTTGATGCCTCTTTAAAGTTTTCTTCTTTTCTCAAGTCAAGGTTTTATTGGGATTTAAAGAAAAAAACAACATAAAATGGAGCATGATTTTATATGGAGCTAAAATGAAAGAAGCTTTTCAGCAACTTTGTTGCATAAAAATTTGAAAAACTTTGATTTTTTTTTTTACCCAGCTAAGGTTTTAAATGAATCCTCTCTTTTTACTTTTAAATTATGCTCTACATACTTTAGACTGAACTATGAAAATCAAAACTCAAAAAAGGCTAAAGAGTGAAAAATGTGGAGAAGTTTAAGTGGTATGAACATTTGATCACATCTGCATCAACAAACAGCTGATAGACAAAAAAGAAATAGTATCCTAAAGTTCTGGATATCTTCATAAATAGATGGTAATGCAATAGTTGAAGAATACTAGTCATTAACTAAATTAAAAACTTCCTCTTTTCTAAGAGCTGCATCAGTAAGAGTATGAAAAATGCCTATAAACAGGTAAAGATGGAAGAGGGTGGTAATAACCAGGTTGTCTGGACGGATCAAAGCTCACCCGCTTATATGCCATGCTCTCAGTGAAAGCTCTACACTGCTTAAAGATTTCCTTGCCAGACTTCACAGGCTTTAGAAATTCTATGAACTCTCGTGTCGCCCGGTCATTATCCAGTGAGGTCTGTCGACTGGCCGATGAACTCGGGCTTGGAGTTGAATTTGCATCAAAAGGGCCACCATCTGGGAAGGGATGATGAAGAACATTTCTTTACATAATCTGCAGTGACTCTGCTAACATCTTAGAACTATATGGAGTATTACTTTCCAACCTTGTATATCCAGGGATAAGGTAATTATAAGCAGAGAAAAAGCCGCAATTCACGAAAAAGGTGATAAAATCGCACAATGAGCTAAATTTAGCATTAAAGATCTATTGGATAACCCTTTCTGGCTCTGTTTACAAAATATAATAAATAACAGTAACTGGATGCAATGCATTTTTTAATTGACTGTTTTAAAGAGAAGTGAAATTCAGCTAAACCTGTGTCATTTGTTTCCAGGTAAAAGCATTCAAGCATCAGAAAAAGATTCTCTAAGAGGTAGAAGCACAGAAAGAAGCCAAACATCCAGTTTTAGGTAAATGGGCCATGTAGCATTTCATGTTCTACATAAAGATCCTGCAGGACAGTTGAGCGCACTTGTAAAAGAAGAAAAAAAAAAGCAGCAGCAGACATTTCATCCTTTAATATGGCTATTAAAAATTGGGCTGGTAAAAACAAAACGAAAAAAAAAGGAGGGGAAAATATAGATTTTCAACAAGAAGTGGACTTTGATGCAATGTCTGTTTAGAGACACTAGCATGGAGTGTGGGTGGGGCGAATTGTTTTGCAAGGTACAGCAGGGGGTGGGTCCTGGACCAAAAATTAAGCGTAGAAATCACTAGTGTGTGCTTTTGAGAGAAAGAATACCTTTTTTGGGGGGTGTTTTTGTTGATGGAGTGAAAAACTTTGTGACAGTATTGACTTTGCTGGATTTCTCTTTAGTCTTTCTTTCCTCAAACTTGTTAAATGGAGTGATTGCAGGTTGTGATTGTGTCCGCTGATGTCTGCTGGCATATGCTTCCTCTTCCTCTCTCTGGAGCCTAGGAGGACAACGACATAAAGAGGTAAGATGAAAAAAAGGAAGATAATACCGTTACAATTTTGTATTATTATTGCAGAAAAATAAAAATACCAACCTCTCAGCAAGAGCCCAGTCCTCCTGGATTTGCCTTTGCTTTTCTCGTTGATTTTCCTCTCGCCAACACTTTGAGCACAGGCCCTGCCAGGCTGTGTTGCCATAAAAACCACATCCTTTCTTGCAAAGCAACTCAGATTGGTCCATATGGATGCCACGCCGCTGGTTCATCATGCTTTTGGTTTACAGCTGGAAAAGCATTAACAAAGAAAATGTAAAATAGCAAACACATTTGCAATGTTTAACTCCAAGTAACCTGCTATTAGTCAAATAGTGTTTAAAAAAATGTGACCTTAAATTTAAGACTGATTTACAGGGAACATAAGCCGTTCAACATCAATAACTGAGACTCAAATGCATTTTAGGAGGACTTGTTTTCAGTGACACATCTGGTTCAAAGGAATGTGCAGAGTAGCTATTAGCATTAGCTCGTAAATCTGAAGACACTTTAAACTACCGAAGTATTCTTCATCAGTTGGTGACATTAATCTCTAACATCTCATAATAATCTTAGAGATCGGCGTTTATGCTGGAGTATTTCTATTTCTAAAAAAAACGCGAAATGTACAAGCTAATTACTTAAGTCCGTTATTAGCCATTTCTATTTGACACAAACTAATGTCACGGCAATAAATCTTTTTTTTTTTTTTATATCGGTTGTATGAAACATGTGTTGACATACACTGATATTCGTTTCAAGTGGTATCTGGTATGGTTATCTCCGCTGTCTCTTGTCTGTTCTTGGTAGGAATATTTTCATTAGCTAAACAAATAGCTTCGCTCTAGTACAGCCATCTTCTTCTTTGACAGATTCTTCTTCTTTTACGGAAAACACAACTAGATGGAACCCGTTGTCTCCCCCTAGCGGTAGCTTATTATTTCTTCAGACGTATCGTTGTGGTCATTATCATTAGACCATTTAGTTTTATTTTTAACTTATACTACAACTAATAATAATGATAATTCAAATATTCATAATAATTAAGACACGAAAGACAATAAAACATAAGAATAGGCTATTTTTTTAAACTTAACAAAGTGGAAATACCTCTAAATTGAGTTAAAATTAATGTAAAAACTACTGAAATATAACCTACGGTCATTTATCCCTAGGACTTATAAAGGAAGGACTGGACATTTTAACCCCAAAGAATCTAGTTATCCTTAATATTATGAGATCCAGATGATTCCCACCCTAACACACATACTGCAAATATTGTTGCAAAGTAACTTAAGTCCTTTGGCACCTTATAGTCATATTTTAATCCTGATTTTATTGGATATAAATAGATATCACCCACTAAAGGAAATATTAATGTTGGAGCTATTTATTCTTTCTTTATCCATTTGAATTGTGTTGATTCCTAAATTTATATTTTTTGATTATTTCACTTATTTATTTAATTTATTTTTGTTCTGAGGTATGACAGGAAGTGATGTGGATCAGTCCACTTTTTATAAGTGTAGATGCGTAGGAAAGGACCAGCAGGCATTTTGGGTTTGGGTCCTATGGTTTTTACCAGTGCAAGAGAGGTAGGACAAAAGAAAAGTTTGTACTCTTTAATTGTTAATAACAATAGAAAATAACCCACCCAGAACCATCATCAAGACTGGACATTGGAACTTCTTTTTGCCTGCATATAGAAACTTGACCCCAGTGCCTTAGTAGTGGCTTAATTGCAACTTTAATGGGATGTTTGGCCTGGCAAACAATCACCACTATAATTATATAATAATAAAAACAATTATTAAAACATCCCATTGTCAATTTTCTGTCATCTGGGTCATGACGGCCACAAAACAGGGTTAAATGCAGTCCATGAAGACATTTTACACATAACCAGGAGTCTTTGTCAATTCTTTCGGCTCGAACTAGAGCTGACAGAATGAGAAAAATGAAATTAATAAAATAATAAAAGAAGTCTTTTTTTGTCCCACAAGGAGAAATTCAGGTGTGTGCAAAACCAAACTTGAAACCAAAAACAGTGTTCAAAAAATAAACTCAACCACAGTAAAGGAAACACCCCCCCCCCCTCACTGAATAAAGATAATGAGTTTAAAAAAAATAAAAAAATCCTTATTCAGATTAAACTGAATTCAGAATAGCACAGGAACTTAAACGAATTAGAAAATCATGTATTTTAGCTGGCAACAATTACATGACAGTTTCTCAAGCTGAATTATTTTAACATTTTCTTTTTTTTAAATCCCAGTTGTAATGTTTCTTAAGCTCAGTTAGATTGATTAAAACATGATCAATAATTTTTTACTATATGAGTGTCCGTCTTAAATCTAATCAGATAGAATAAATACAAAAGGGTTGGGATCAAAAGTGTTTAATCTTAATTCTCCTTATTTTATTCGAGGAATTTCTGTACGCTATAAGAATAGTTACTTCCAGAATTATATTTTTGTCTTTAACGTAATATTTTCTTGTTTTATTTTACCGATGTTAATTATTTAACATCCAAGATTGCATTAGGTCAAACTATATTTCTGCCCATTTACAAAGATATCCTTAACATATAAAAGGGTTGATTAATTTACCATTCCTGGCAAGGTTTTGCTGTTTCCACTTTCTTGCTTTGAAGCTTCCTCTTTTTACTTTTTTCTGCTAACAGCAGAAACTCACATCAGAATGAACGCATGATCTAAATATATATTTAAAAAGGTCTTTTAGCTGGGCATTTGCATTTTAAAAGTTTGAAAGTTTAACGTTTTATGTTCAAAAAGACATTTTGCTGGAAATGAAAATGAACACAAAAGTGAAAAAGTGAATTAAACTCACGTTTTTTCAGAATTAAACGATAAAGCATAAAGGAAACCCATTTTTCTGATTTATATTAGAAATAGTAGCCACAGACCTCTGATTGAAATATACTGTAAGTGAATGTACCTTTATCACAACTATAACTACACATATTTGTTCATTTCAAGAAAACCATTTAATCATTTTCAGAAGTGCATTTAGATTTTATCTAAACATTTATCAGTTTATTTTTTTCATTGTGTCAGTCAGCTGAACAACTTGATTTAAAAATGTGGTCTGTCTATTTTAAAATCATTAGGAAAATGAAAGATATTGCAACACGATCATATTGGTTTGAAACAACATGACATTTCCTTGTAAACAAATATTGCTCTCTTCAATCTGCAGGGCATCAGCAGCTGGGATGAATAGACACTTTTCCTCCAGAGTCGTAGCAGCTGCAAAACATCATAAGAAATGTTCAATGTCACTTTATGGATTAGAATGCTTTTGTCCATCTGCATGTGGTTCTTTCACCAAGATTCATGGAGAAGAGATGTGTTTCTGTCGGGGATGTACCTGCTCCGAGGTGTTACAGATTCAGCTCAGCAGAGAGAGTAGGATCTCTCTGGCGAAAGTGAGTTATCATCAGCCTGCTGGCTTCATTTCCTTTCCTCCACACTGCATCAATGAGAGCTCGGGCCATGTCTGCTCGGGTTTTGTTCTCCTCCAGTATGGAGTCCTTCTCCCCATCATTAATGATGTCGTCCTCCAGGAGATCATCCAGAAGCTGCTTTATTAGTTCTTTGGAGGCCTTGTCCACAAAGCTGGACCTGATGTTTTTAACTGTATCAGCTGGAAAAAAAAAAAAAAAAAATCGTGATCAGTGAAGCCTCCTAATCTACTGATCTTAACCACAGAGGCAGAGGCGTAGCCAGAAAATTCTAATAGGGGTGACCAGTCAATAACCAATGTATATTGAGGGGTGGCTGAAAGGCGTTTGGTTTACAGTTGGAAAAGCATAAAAAAAAATTTAAATAGCAAACACATTTGATATGTTTAACTCCAAGTAACATGCTATTAGTCAAATAATCAGTGTTTAAAAAAACTTAACCTTAAATTTAAGACTGATTACAGGGAACATCAGCCGTTCAACAACTACTTCACAACAGAATGGCACCAGAACCTCAGGGTCAATCTACACTGTTTCAACAGGAACAAGCACATCCATATTTTCTAAATAAAGACAAACTATACTTTCCTGCAGCGTGTGATAACAAATGGATATATTTAAACATTTATGCTGTAAATAAAAGGTAAAGTGGACAAAATTCTTTCAGGTTTCAGTTCTGGGTCAAACATATCTTACATTGTCATTACCTACTTTTATCAAAAATCATTCTGCAAGAAATATAATATTTTAATCAGCTTTTAAGTTATTATTAAATTAATTATCTATGATTTCACTGAAGACTCCTAGATGACTTACAGGGGCACATCATTTCATCTTCACCCCAAGTAATTAAAAATTTTGTTCTGAAAATAGCATGAATTCTGTATCTATCATCTTTAATGTTAGTATATTGCTGTGCATAATTAACTACAGTGTTTCTGTTGTCAAGTAGTTGTTCATATATGAAAAATTGACATGTTAATTAAGTTTAAACATTCCCCTTCACGGTATTACTGCTGCCACTGTCTGTATTAGAGGGACAAAAATGGTAGGGGTGGCCACAGGCCCCCATCTAGCTTCGCCCCTGCACAGAGTAAATTCTTAATAAATCACACAAATCAAATTTAATGTTGACATTTCCTGTATTGCACATGCTATTTTTTAAATAGTTTTAATGTGTATGAAAGTTATATTGAAACCAGAATGTGGTTCTTGCATGAATGGCTTATCAAACATCAGATCAAACGTTTTGATCTAAACCTGTTCCATAGTGAGCCAAACCGAAAACAAGAAAAGAAGGCGAGGAAGTACTTTTAAAATTGAATAAAGTGATAATAATGAGAAGGGAGAAGACTTTTTAAACACACGAACAAAGCTGGTCAACGCAGCGAATTTATGTTTTCTGACTCTTTCCGCTCTGCAGCTGCAGACATCTTGCTTTGAACTTGACTTTCACGCGGTTTTACGCTTTCTGTTCATGGTTATTACTCCAATTATTACACAAGTATAGACTCATCCTTGTGTAATAACTATCCCACCTCCTGATTTGGGGATCATGCTATGTGAGAAATCAGGGAAAAGTCTCCAACCAGGAAATTCGTCTTACCTTCCATTTCTGCAAAACAATGATGGTTTCGAAATGGTCGTCTTAGTTAACTCCACCCAGCACTGTACAGACATTAACCTCTAGAAGTTTACTGCTCATTAGAGCATAGTTCAAGGCTGCTGTACGGATGTACATTGCTATATAGGACTATGCTTATATTTCAAACTTAACATAAAATATTGTATGTAACGTATGTGTACAAAAGAGACTGTCTCATATTTTTCATCACTGCAGTAATTAGTTACAGCTGTACAGTAGGAAGTCAGGCGCATCGGGCATTACGCGCAGCCAGTTCCAAAAGAATCAGGAAGTTTCCAAATAAAATCTGTCACTGTTACACACTCTGAAGGATGGCAGGTGAGAGAAAATACCTTTTTTAAGTTTGAAACTTTATTGGCTGCACAATATGCGGACTAAAAAACTCGGAATAGCAAATGCGTAACTCCTTCCTTTAATCATAATGCCACGTTTTATAGTTTCGGTTTGAGGGCGACGATCCTGAGTGCAACTCTTTAATATTAATGGACGTTTTCAAAATGTAAAAAGCTATTTTTTTTTAATATATATCTGTAACATTTCTCCATGTGGTTGACATAAGCGCCCACAGCCTTTCCTGTCTAATTAAACAGAACTGTTGAATCCCTTAAGGGTTTGGCGCGTTTATAAGCTATTGGCAAAGGCGTAGGTTTGCTTTCAACTTTGGTAAGGGATACTATTGGTCTAATGTTGGTCCTATGCAAAAATATGCATGCTCGTTTTTTTTTTCAGGGTGTTCTTTGTTTAAAGCAGTTTCTTGATACATTTGTACAGTCATTGCCAAAAGTTGATTCAAATGTTAATATTTACAAAGACTACTGCTTCAGTTTTTATAACGTAAAACTGGAGTATAATTTGCATATACTCCAGAATGTTATAAAGAGTGATCAGCGTAACAGCAATTAATTGCAAAGTCAATATTTGCCTAGAAAATGAACTTTATCCCCCAAAACACATCTCAACGTCATTGCAGCACTGCCTTAAAAGGACCAGCTAACATTGTTTCAGTGATTGCTCCAATAACACAGATGTGGGTGGGGATGAGGACAGGGCTGGAGATCAATCTGTCATGATTAAGTAAGAATGACACCACTGGACACTTTAAAAAAAGGTGCTTGGCATCATTGTTTCTCTTCTGTGAACCATGGTTATCTCTAAAGAAACATGTGCAGTCATCATTGCACTGCACAAAAATGAACTAACAGGAAAAGAGAATCGCAGCTAGAAAGATTGCACCTCAGTCAACAATTTATTGCATCATCAAGAACTTCAAGGAGAGGGGTTCCATTGTTGCCAAAAAGGCTCCAGGGTGCCCAAGAAAGACCAGCAAGCGTCAGGACCGTCTCTTAAAATTGTTTCAGCTGTGGGATCAGGCTACCAGCAGGGCAGAGTTTGCTCAGGAATGGCAGCAGGCAGGTGTGAGTGCATCTGCACTCACTGTGAGGCGGAGACTCTTGGAGCAAGGCCTGGTCCCAAGGAGGGCAGCAAAGAAGCCACTTTTCTCCAGGAAAAACATCAGGGACAGACTGATATTCTGCAAAAGGTACAGGGGGTGGACTGCTGAGGACTGGGGTAAAGTCATTTTCTCTGATGAATCCCCTTTCCGATTGTTTGGGACATCTGGAAAACAGCTTGTTCGAAGAACACGAGGTGAGCGCTACCACCAGTCTTGTCTCATGCCAACTGTAAAGCATCCTGAAACCATTCATGTGTGGGGTTGCTTCTCAGCCAAGGGAGTCGCCTCTCTCACAGTCTTACCTAAAAACACAGCTATGAATAAAGAATGGTACCAGAATGTCCTCCCAGAGCAACTTCTCCCAACCGTCCAAGAGCAGTTTGGTGATGAACGATGCCTTTTCCCGCATGATGGGGCACCTTGCCATAAAGCAAAGGTGATAACTAACTGGCTCAGGGAACAAAACATAGAGATTTTGGGTCCATGGCCTGGAAACTCCCCTGATGTTAATCCCATTGAAAACTTCTGGACAAAGGAAAACCTATGAATTCTGACAAAATGCAAGCATCGATTGTGCAAAAAATTGACTGCTATCAGTCAGGATGTGGTCCAGAAGTTGATTGAGAGCATGCCAGGGAGAATTGCAGAGGTCCTGAAGCAGAGGGGTCAACACTGCAAATATTGACTTGCTGCATTAACTCATTCTTACTGTCATTAAAAGCTTTTGTTACTTATAGTATAAATTGCAATAGTATTTCTGTATGTGATGACAACATCTGACATACACACATGAAAACCAGAGGGCAGCAGATCATGTGAAAATATAATATTTGTGTCCTTCTCAATACTTTTGGCCATGACTGTACAACTTTTATAAGCGCTACACACTAGATGCTGTTTATCAATGTTGGAAGCATCACCGGCTCTGATGAATGAGGACTTATGACTTTTTTCCACTTTGAAAAGGTTTGCATTTGAAATTACCAGCGACTAATACAGAAAGTAAATCTGTGCCTATTTAACACAATATATCTAAATATATATGTTATATGTGGATTTATCCTGTTTTTTTTTTTTTTCTTTTGAGATATACAATTGTGCAGAGGTAAAACCCACTGTATCATGAAACAAAGCAAAATAATAGATTAAAGGGACGCAAAATAAATATTTTATTTACATGAGCACTGGAACTGACACTGAGTATTTAGAATATTGATTTCACTCTACAAGACATCTAGGATGTAGTTACTCTATTTAACCCATATCATGTATTTTATCTTGGGCTGACACAATTCATCGGAATAATCGATTATTGAAATTTCAACAAAATTTGTAATTGATTAATTGTTAACTGGAGTATAGAGACTCTAAAACATGTCTTTAGCTCACAGAGTGACCCACTTACAGCAGGAATTATAAATATAGGCATTAAACAAAATATATAAACATTTTTCATAGATCAAAAATGTTTTTGTCTGTCAACATTCTCCATCCAGAACTCCTCTACTGCTGCAACAAAGCTATATTGTAAATTATAAACATGTTGTTCACATCTAATTGTTGGTAGGGACAAGTAGGTTCGTCCAAAATGTTGGTGGGGACATGTCCCTATGGTCCCCATGCAAACCTACGCCCATAGCTATTATATTATATTATATAACTTTTTTATTATTTTTTTTGTTTTTTTTTGTTTACAGGGTTCACATTGTAGAAACAGCATGTAAAATCAGTGATAAAAACTATAAATTAGAGGTCTTCAACAGGGGGTCTGTGACACCTAAGGGGGGCACGGAGGTACTGCATGGGGGTCGCAAAACTTTTGGTTGATTAGACTTTGTTTTTTAAATTCCCCCTGTAATTATATCCACTAATTGAAATGTCTTTAAATACACATTGACATGAATTCAACACACTGTAGTAAACAGATAAATGGAGACAGAATATGTCTTACAGTCACCAATGCACACATTGGTGGTCACAGTTTAATTCCCAATCAGAAATACATTAATAATCCCCGGATTATTAAAGTATTGGATGGAGTCATGTGACAGTTATTCGTGACTATAGGATCAGTTTGATATAACACAATTTCATACAATATATATAATTAGGGGGTCCCCACTCAATCCAGTTTGGGGGCCCTTGGCCTGAAAAACGTTGAAAACCTCTGCTGTACAGTATCAGGAGCTACAGACTGTAAAATTCCCCTTAAGACAAGAAACATAAATGTTCCTTTATGGATTAGGATTTGCAATTTTCCACTATGTCAGAATCACCACTGTTTTATGCCAAAAAATTCCTGTACACCAAAACTCTCAATTGTAGAGCATCCATGCATAAGAAATATGAAAACATTTGCAATATATTTAAAAGTTCGCTTCTTTTCATATTTCAAACCATTTCTCATCAGTGTGCGAGAGGGGAGGTAATTCTCGGGATGGGGTTAGATGAAAATGGGGTCAAGCATGTAGGACGGCCTTACATAAGCAAATTACCAGAATGATTGACAGTTAGGAGGACCACTTATTTTGACGATCCTCCCGGAAAAAGAACATCCTCCACTATACCTTTTAAATACAGTACATATTGAAAATACAAATTAAATTTTCTCATATCAGTAAATCTCTGTATAATTTTCAGAGCAATTTTATAGAACCTTGTAACTTTCAGAAAGCGCCCGATGTATTCATGCATAGAAACACTCTGCTACAAAATCTACACCACTTGTAAAGAACTTCCTCATAAAAATGCCAGAAAAAGTATAAATAAGAACAACTATTTTGAATATTATTTCTTATCTAAGAAATTTTCCTGACACTTTCACTAATAGTGGTTTGAGGTTGAAACTATTGCATTTATCTAAAATTTATAAACTACAAATAATGTCTCTCTTGAGTTTTTTACATCTGCGGAATATCATGCAAATCTCTAAAACAGTGGTGTCCAGATCCGGCAAAAGGTCGGCTACCTTGCATGGTTAAAAGGCATTTCAAGAAAGAGAAACAGCAACAGCGGATTACAAAGCTAAGCTGAGCCAAAAGTGACAAGTAACTAGCATCTTCCTTGAAATGGAATGGAGTAGAAAGTACAATATTTGACTCTGAAATCTAGTGGAGTGAAAGTTATAAGTAAACCCCTCCATAGAAAAAAAGTATTCAAGTAAAGATACTCAAAAAAGTACTTAGCTATAATAATAAAAAAAAAAAAATAGGGTTAGGGAGTGTTGGCTACCCAATCCTTGTGGGTCCTTGATGAATCTTAGCTGTCCCTAGGATTTCGCTCTTCCGAACTGAGATGTCTGATGTTTCTCCAGTGTGGGATAGATAGTTTCTATCTATCTATCTATCTATCTATCTATCTATCTATCTATCTATCTATCTATCTATCTATCTATCTATCTATCTATCTATCTATCTATCTATCTATCTATCTATCTATCTATCTATCTATCTATCTATCTATCTATCTATCTATCTATCTATCTATCTATCTATCTATCTATCTATCTATCTATCTATCTATCTATCTATCTATCTATCTATCTATCTATCTATGTCTGTCTATACATATGTAATCATATGTAATTAATTAAATTAACTTATTATATAATGTTTTATAGTCCTGTGATCTATTTATTAATTTAACTTATGCCTTACGTGGCCCTCAGTAGTCTTCACACCATAATTCTAAAAACAGAGAAAGAAAAGTCATCCCTAGAGCTACTGTATGTGATCTGTTTTTTTGTTATATCTTTCAAAAATTATGTATTTTTGATTTCCCTGATCTGATTGTGTCAGTTTGCATCAATTGTTTCTGTATCTTTCTAATTCCAGATAAGGAACTCCAGAGGGTGAGGAAAGACTTTGTGGACAAAGTGTCAAAAGAAGGCATTAAACAACTCCTGGATGGTCTTTTGGATGATGGTGTATTGAATGATGGGGAAAAAGATTCAGTACTTGAGGAGAATGTTAGCAGAGCAGATAGGGCACGCTGTCTTATTGACATAGTTAAGAAAAAAGGCAATCAAGCTAGCAGAAAGATGATTGCTCAGCTGCAGAGCATAGACCCAACCCTGCACTCTGAGTTGGGTCTATCCAGTGCCCAGCCTCCTCAGCCAGGTGAGACCAATTTACACATTTCCACGAAAGTCCAGACAGGATTTCTGTTTAATTGCAATATTATGATGCCATAAGGAAAACCTGGGGTAATACGGGCTTTAATTTCAGTTCATTTATTATAAAAATAAAACCTTCAGTATTTAAAAAAAACATATTCTTTAGCAAGAGTAATAGGTCTTATTTCTTTCACAAAGTATGGAAAAAGAAAATAAGATGCAATTCAAGTAAGGCAATGTAAGGAAATGTCAACAACACTAGCATCAGGGGGAAAGGATCAGCAAGAAAAAGAGTTTGCTGTTCTGCAATCACAAATCTTAACAGGTGTAGTTTGCTAAATAACACTGGGACAACAACCCTGTTGTTGCATACATTAAATTTATATACCAGCATAAAACGTAGGAGGAATATGTTAGATATAGAGGAGGATTAATGATACTCTGATCCTGTATTTGTTCCAATTAGCCCGGTCAGAGTGCATCATGATCCAGCAGGGGTTTCAATTGGCTTTACACTATTAATTTATAAAATAAAATCATGATTACTTTACCATATAAAAAACTTTGCCCAATAATTAAATAAGATAAATTTAAATATGATTTTATTTTTGTGATATTGTCACTGCATAAAATATGGTTTGGTTTTAAAAAATGTTTCTTTTACAACTCTTTACCAGGGGTTCCAATAGGTGTTTAAGACCCTTTATATGCATATGTTAAAGCAAGTGTGAATGTGTTTTAACAAATGCACTGTAAATGCTTTTTGAAAAAGAGCAATATTGTATTATTTCTCTCCAGTAGGTGCAGTGGCTCAGAACGTATTAGCTCCATCAGTATCCACCGTAGAAGAGTTCTGGAAACTTAAAAAGGATGATTCAAATGTAAGTAATTAATTTACTCACAACTAAAAATATTTGTTCTTCTAAATATATAAAAAGTGCAAAAATATACTTGCAGAAACAACAGAAAAAGTAAGGATATTATGTATAAATGTTTTTTGTATTAAGTCTAGAACCAAATGTTTACATGTTTGGACACATTTTACCAGTTATCCATTTTACTTGGATGTTATTAGTTGGTAACACCTTTTGCATAATGGAAACTATAAATGCTATATACAGAAAAGGGCCAGATGCAATGCCACAGATCCCACCCACCCAAGATATGATTTGTTTGTCCCATTTGAGCTGCACTTTATATAAACTCATCTCATGCGCATATTGCATGTACATAAGGAATGTATTTTAGCTGCTATAGGTGTTACATTTTTCCTCCTGGATCACTTTATCATATTTATTTGTTCCATTCCTTACTTTTAAAATATTTTACTCCTGTATTTGCATATTTTAATGAGTTATTGTGTTCAGTCTGCGTTCTATGTATATGCATTCTGAGCTGAGTGCCTGATCAAAATTGCCATTAATGCTCCTTAATGACAAAGATTCTTAATAAACATCTTAACATCGCCTTTGGTTCTCCAGGTTCCAGTTAATCGTTTTTCTTATTTATCTTTCAGGTCTACCCTGTGACTCAGGACTCCTTTAGGAACCGTGTTGCGCTACTTATCACTAATATGAAGTTTTCTGATGAGAAAATGGACAGAAGAGGGGCAGAGAAAGATGAGGAGAATATGGAAAAACTGCTGTCAAGTCTGGGATATGAGGTGGTGAAATATACAGACCTAACTGGAAAGGTATTTTATTAAAAAAATAATTAAATAAACAGCTTCTTATCTGAATAACGGAGAAATATATCTGAATTTGTGATATTTTTGTCTTCCTTCAGGCGATCAATGATGGTTTGATTCAGTTCGCTAAACATCCTAAATTAAAACAGACCGATAGTGTTTTTGTGGTTATCATGTCCCATGGGAAGCTAGGGAAAATTCTTGGAGTTAACTGGAAAGAGGACAATCCAGATGAATTTCCAATTGACAACATTTTCAAACACTTGGGCTCTGAGAAATGTCCTGCACTAATAAAAAAGCCAAAGATCATCATCATACAGGCCTGCAGAGGAGGTGATTCTGATCAACCTATATAGATCTTTGAACTTATAGATATAAGTCTATTGTGAGTTGAATTAAGAGTTTTACCAGCTTTCCAATCTTTTCATTTTACAGAACAAAGAGGAAGCGTTCTGGTCAGTGACAGTCCAAATGCAGCTGCTGATGTTCCACAACCTGATGACTTTGAAGCAGACAAGATTCAACTTGTACACCAAGAAAAAGACTTTATTTGTCTTCTGTCCTGCACGCCTGGTGGGTTCAAAGCAACACTTTAATGTTTAAACTTTAAATAAACCTGTTCTGATGGTTATAACTGTATTATTTTTTTATTCTTACTCTTCCTCTTCCAGACACCGTGTCATACAGACAACCTGATCGTGGGTCTATCCTCATCCAGTACGTTGTGGAGTCTTTCAGTCCAGATTCATATCAGGATCACATTTTTGATCTCTTCCAAAAGGTATGAAAAAAAAACCCCCAAGACTTTCTCTCCGTTTATCTCTTAGGGCCGGATTTATCAAGATCCAATTTTGCGTGCAGTAATTTGCGCTCGCAAACTGGAATGTTGCGCGAGGGGCTGAACCATGGTTTGCGGGTGATTTAACAAGAGCGATTGCGTAACTGGTGGCAGGTGCAAAACTGTTGGAGACGCCCTATTTAAATGATGGTTTTGCGCGTTTTGTGGTTTGCGGCAAAGTAGTTTGTTGATTGTGCAAACTAGTGCATTAAGAAATTTTATTCTTACAGTGACACCCCCACCCCCTCCAAAAAAAAAAAAAAAAAAAAAATATATATATATATATATATATATATATATATATATATATATATATATATATATATATATATATATATATATATATATATATATATATATATATAAGGTGGTATGTGGCTGAATTTCTACTTCACTGCAGTAAAAAAATAAAATAAAACGCATCCCCGCAGCATTGGCATGTTGCTCCACAGGCGCAAGGATGAGGTCGGAGTTCTCCGTTAGGGCGTCCGAACTACATGGCATTTAAAACGTCGGACAGCACTTCTGAAAAACGAGATTGGGAGATCCCAGATGCAAAAAAGTGCAATGTTGCAAGGAGTTTTGTGATATCTGGTATTGCGTGGGTCCTCCTTGTGGCTGGCTCCAAATCCAATCGGAGTTCCCCCAACAGCTCCAAAATGGCAATGCTGGATAAACGACATGTTTTCATGATCGTTTCCTCGTTCATTCCAAAAATATTCACACGGAGTGAAAAAATGCGTTCTCTGCGTCTCCTTGCTTCATTTCGATGTCTCCTTCTTGCGACAATAACCGCTGCCATGTTACGCATACAGACCATTTGCACCTTCTTTTGAAACGTGTTAAATATAGAGTCAGATACCGTTAGCAAAATTGCTTTCAGGTTTAATAAATCACTTTGCGAGTGCTAAATTAATATATTTACATGTTCTCCTCCCACAAGACGCACTTTTGCGTGTAAACGCCCCATATTGCATATTCATTGCAGAAAAAGTACTAAATGGATAAGAGGCGCTATTTAGCACGTTTTAAAGACCAAATTATTTTAGCACGCTGTTGATAGATCAGTTTGTACATTTTTTAGCGTGCGCAGTGAAATAGCTCACGTTTTTATACACGCAAACCTTTGATAGATCCAGCCCTTAGTGCAGTAACCAGGGGCGTTGCTAGGCACAAAGCTTTACTGGGGCACTGGCCCCCTAGTGCATATGCCCCTCCTTCCATACATAAATACAGACAAGCACACTGCCCAACCCTGATATATTCCAACCAAAATTACCAGTTGAGATATTAATGAGTATAAGATCATATTTGTTTTAACAAACATGAACATTTTCAACATTGCAGCTATAAAAAATAAGACATTACCAACTTTAAAAATAAAAAGTTTCCTTATACACATTCTGAAGTAATCATTAATTTCTAGGTTTCAGGGTTTTAGTTCAGGGGAAATGTTAACTCATCCTGAACTAAGTTTTTCTTTTATTTTTTGAGCATTAAAGTGTACCTCCTATTTTTCATTTTTGCAAAGCGGTCAATCACTTGACTGTGACTCAGCTTAGAAAGCTCTTCCTTTTCAACTGATAAAAAGCAAGATTATGGAGCCTGTCTCGTCCCATTGTGCACCTCAGCCAAGTGTGGAGCTTTCTCAACACACTGAATGACCTTTCACAACTCCATCTGTAGACTGGGATTGTGAGGGAGATCTGGATGACCTGTGTTAGTGTTGGGAATATGATGTTATCAAGCAAGTTGAAAACACACTGCATATCCTTGATGACAAGGCTTTCTTTTTCAACCATAAAAAGCTTTCAAACCATTTTGAATTAAACAAACGTTTTTTTACTCCAAATTTGTGCTGGGGATAGTGGGATAACTTCACTTGTTTAGGACCATCATGCTTTCCCCCTAAGTCACTAATGTCACCTTCTTGTTTGTGGAAGCTGGTTGTTGCATCCTCATCACCTTCATGGTCCTGTCTCTCCTGTCCTTCACCTGTCTCTTGCCTGTCAGTCTCGCCTCCTCCTCCCTTTCCTACTCCAGCACCTTCATTCTCATTCTCTACAGCAAACATAAAAAAAAACGTAAATCTATAATTATGTAAACATCTATCATATTGCTTATAACGTCCCTAATGTAACTGCTTAGCTTAAATCACTAATTCATCACGGGACCTTACCTCCCTCTCTCTCATTTTGTTTTACTGCTTTCCTGTCTCTGCTTCGTGTGAGGAATTTCCTGATATCCATCTACAAACCAGTGCAGTAATTTTCAATTTTCAGTCCTTTCATGTGGTTTCACTGGGAAAATATTAAAATTGACAGGTAAGAAACATTACCAGAACTAAAAATGCGTTGCGGCCGCACAGTGTCCCATCCAAAACAGTTGAGAGCAGTGAGTTAATTTACCTGCAGTTCATGCAGTGACATGCGCTGACGTGGGGGCGCTAATACATCCTCAATTTGGAGTTACCAACACACTTGCTGCGCATTTGAGTAGAAATATACGTCTCCTCCCGTTGGAATTATCTAAATTGATGCATTAAAAAAAATGTAATACTGTTGCAAATATTCATGAGATTTATACTGGGGCACAGCTCATTTATACTGGGGCACGTGCCCCAGTAAATGGGGTCTGGCGACGCCGATGGCAGTAACTAAATTATAAACACAATGTTCTCAGTGAATTTATCTCATATTCCTTAAAAAGGTTTAAATGCTAAATATGAGATTTAACGAGATTTAATGCATTAAATAAAAAATAAATGGATGAAGATTTTAGATTGTGGGACAAAGATACAGAACTCTTATTCCAAACATGCTATACATACGTATTGAAATACAAATATTATTTTGTACTTTTTTGTTTTCACATTTATTAACATAAGTCCTCTAATTGAATTGCATAATTTAAAGAGTCTTTCAGAAGGCAGCCAGAATATCACCAGCATTAAGATCACAATGAAAAAAAGTTTTTTTTTTTTTTTTTTACAATGATGTTGAGGATTTCTTCATAAAAACATCAGCTGAGTATTTCCTACCTTTCCAATTTTACAGGTCATGCGGCGTGTTGAAAGCTTCACGAGCAACAACAAACTTCAGATGCCAACTATTGATAGATGCACGCTGATAAAGAGCTTCTACCTCTTTCCAGGCCTCCTGGGCAACAACAACACCAATCCATAAAACTATATTAGAATCACTGATTCGACTGACTCGTTGCAAACTGCTGGGTTTCCTTAAACATAAAACGTTTAATTAATGTGACTAATAGAATGAATTTATCTGCATTGTCTGCCAAGTATCTATTTGAATCGCATGTACTAGATGCTAAATCTGTGTTTGTGTAGATAAACACACAATTAAGTGAACTCAATTATGTGTATATGTAGCAGCTTTATCTGGCTGCTTTCAAATGGAGGACACCACTCAGACCAGGAATCAGGATCTGCAATTTTATTTCACCACACCTATAGGAGTAGTGGGGGACACAGTCAGTAAACACACACAGGCTGTTAGGTGCTCTCGGTCTCAAAAGCTTCCAGAGTTTTGCCGTGCAGATAGAGCCACGCCACTATCACACTATACAAGTAATTAAAGGCAACCCCCCCCGCCCCCCCCCCCCCCCCCCCCCCCACAACATGTGCCACGGAACAAAAAAACAAAAAATTTAATTTAACACTGATTTTAGATGGAAAGTATTACTCACAGGTTTTGAGAATGTTTACCAAAATGAAAGATTAGAAATTACATAATTTGTAATATGTGCCACATATTGTCACAGCTACATATATCTAAACACACAAGTTCTACATATAGAATAGGATAGATAGGATATATAGGTGATACAACCAACTTTCATGCTAAATATGTTGACTATTTTAAAAGTGGATGTTTAAGTCTCATTAAAATGATTATCGTCTCTAAGAAACAGCGACAGTGACAGAGAGCGACCAAATTATTCCAGCAAAATATGCAAACATATTATGTCTTTTGGTTGCATCGCATGTGTGTTTTTTAAGGTTTATTGTGTTCTGTATCATTTTAGCTGAATATTTAGGGGAAGTTATATTTTGTGGGAAAAAATAAAACATGTTTATCTCTGGTGTGTTGCCATGCCAATCTAATGCATAGAGCTATCAACCATGTTAATCCACTTCAGATAATAAACAGATACATTGATATTTCTTATGGATGCATTAACTCATTGTATGTAAAAAATAAATGCTAAATGAAGGTTAAAACATAGCAATTTACCTTCTAGTTTTACATGTTGCATTTTGGTTTATGTCTGAAGGTAAACTGTGAACATGATTGATTGTGCTTTTTCAGTGTCAACTTCTGGCAGTTTCAATAAACCTTTGGATAAGGATTCTTTGTCTTTGGCGTCTTGATGTACTGTACATGTACAGTTAGCTCCTTGTGTTCAAGGGCCGGATTTATCAAGATCCAATTTTGCGTGCAGTAATTTGCGCTCGCAAACTGGAATTTTGCGCGAGGGGCTGAACCATGGTTTGCGGGTGATTTAACAAGAGCGATTGCGTAACTGGTGGCAGGTGCAAAACTGTTGGAGACGCCCTATTTAAATGATGGTTTTGCGCGTTTTGTGGTTTGCGGCATGGCGAGTTTGGACAGCAGAAAGCGCAAAAGGAAATTCGACCCCATGGAAATGGAGGTATTGGTGGATGAATCCAACAAACATTTAAGTGAGCTACAGCAAAGAAGTGTGACTGTCACACAGAGGAACGCTATATGTGAACAAATCTGTAATAAAGTAAACGCTGTTGGTGAAACCTTGCGAACAGTGGATGAAGTAAAAAGAAGATACCAGGATATTAGAAGGCGAACCAAAGAAAAACTGGCATATAACAAAACATCTGCGAACAAAACAGGAGGGGGCACAGTAGATGAGATGCCTCTGACCAGCATTGAGGAACAAGTACAGCTGACGCTCTGTGAGGAGCAAATCACTGGAATTGCAGCTCCAAAATGGCAATGCTGGATATACGATATGTTTTGATGATCGTTTCCTCGTTCATTCCAAAAATATTCACACGGAGTGAAAAACTGCGTTCTCTGCGTCTCCTTGCTTCATTTCCATGTCTCCTTCTTGCGACAATAACCGCTGCCATGTGTGCGCAATTACGCATACAGACCATTTGCACCTTCTTTTGAAACGTGTTAAATATAGAGTCAGATACCGTTAGCAAAATTGCTTTCAGGTTTGATAAATCACTTTGCGAGTGCTAAATTAATATATTTACATGTTCTCCTCCCACAAGACGCACTTTTGCGTGTAAACGCCCCATATTGCATATTCATAGCAGAAAAAGTACTAAATGGATAAGAGGCGCTATTTAGCACATTTTAAAGACCAAATCCTTTTAGCACGCTGTTGATAGATCAGTTTGTACATTTTTTAGCGTACGCAGTGAAATAGCTCACGTTTTAATACACGCAAACCTTTGATAGATCCGGCCCCAACTGTAAGTTCTTGCATAAAATATTAATCCAGTTAAATAAAAACAACATTGGCCATTGTATTAATATATTCTGATTGTGACAGATACCATTAAAAGGAAGCAGGAAAGTTCTCAGCCCATTTTTATTGTTGACAGAAATAGAGAAACATGGAAGAGAAAATGTCAAGATTTAAGTTTATGTTATCTTAACAAAGTTCTCTGGTGTGGTCTCAGTAACAAAACAAATTAGTCAGGTCCTCAACATGAGTGGCACAAATAAGAGCAGTTTTTGTGCTGCACTGTTTACGGATCCAGTGCAGAACTGCTTAGACTCCTGCATTGGAGAAACCTAACAACTATAGAAACGTATGGTGCAGCACAGAAAGTCAATGGCTCTGGGAAAGATTCAGCTGTTCATTTACACCTTAAGAAAAAAGGACCCACCTTTGAAGACCTTAGGAGGACCGATGGCTTAAAATATGTATAATCCTTAAAAATGGTGTAAATACACAAGAGGATGATTCTGGAGGGCTGTTTCATTTTTTTTTAAAGAGCTGACAGCGATATAAGATATTTAATTAAAATGAGAATTCAGAAAATAGATGGAAGTACTGTCATAGATTCATAAAATGTGTATTCTGTTATAGAAGCTGTTAATCATTCAATTCTAAAAAAAAAAAAAATAATAATAATAAAAAAGAAAGAAAAAACACGAAGAACATAGCACCAGGAGGGTCAACAGAAAGTGATTTAGTTTCATAAAACTAAATGTAAAGTTTTCAGAGTTTTATGAAAATAGAAAATGCAAATATGCGTGTTTAGAATGTTGTGGGGCACTCTACTGCAGGAGGGACTGATGCATTTCTCAAAACAGATGGAATTTTGAGTAAAAGTACATATTTGGAAAATATCAGCCAGAAACGTATAGCCATGGCACAAAATGAATCTCTAAATATTGTAATAATTTTACATATTTAGCTCGAAAGTTTGAAATAACTGTTGCAAAGCCCTGACTTCTGCCCCAGAAAATCTTTGGTCTGAGCTGAAAATGTGTGTGATAGAGCCAGAGCCCCTCTCCATCTGTTTTATTTATGAATTGAAATTTAAAACTGATCGTTTGTAATAAAAACTAATTCACAATTTACATCACATGTAGTTATGACGAGTTCGTTCTTTGTATGTCAAAATAAGTCATGGGTCATACATATTAAACAGTCTATCAGACTATTTACTTTTCTTACCGCACTTATATGTTACTACAAGGCTATGCTAGGAAATTATTCACATCTTAACCATCGTAAATGCCTTTGTTAAAGCAGTAGTGCCAGTAAATCACCAATAAGTGTCAGTTTTGTGATGTTATCAAATAAGATAAAAGTTGTAAGCTATTGCATTTTGCAGAATATCTTAATTTAATGGTTTGATTAAATTGAATAATCTAATAAGTGGTCAAATGTAAAAAGAACAAAAGTTGCAATGAGAGAAACTGTGCTGTAGTGGTAAAGTTAAGATGTTTATTTTCATGGATAAGCATCACCTCTCTTCAATTTTTGCATATTCAACCCTCACCAGCTCAGCTTCTGGTTTGGATTATTTAGCAGTTTTCCCCACTGGCCAGGACGATTCTCTGAACGCTGTACTGTGTAAGTGCACTTAAATAAGCAATCTTTAAATAACTTGATCCTTATGCTTGAACCAAGACCACATTTTTTCCCCCATTTATTTACTGAGCTGCTCAGACAGCGAAGGAAAACTGAACTGGGTGAACAAATAATCGTCTAATCGCCCCTTCTTCTGGAGACAATATTCCAATGTGATTAGGTATAGGAACAACAGACAAACATGAACCCTTAAAACTATATAGAGACCATTTAGAAACTGCCCAGCAGTAAATTATAATAAATGAAACTAGCAGGATTTACTGAGGAAACCATTTAGCATTTGTGGAGCATGGGATAATCTTCTTCCTTCTAGTATCTTAGGCTTCCATCACTGCAGAAACAAACACGGCTTGACAGCAACATCACAAGCTTTGGAGAAATAATAAAATGTATACGATGAAAGACAACTGTTTGAGATTTTAATATACTTGGTTTGTTCCTGAAATGTATATTGTGCATTTAATTAAAATGCATTTTATGCTTTCTTTCAATGTCCGCTTTCAGATTTAGATTTTGAAATAGAAAACTTACCTTTAAAAATGCTTTCTCCAGTTTTAATGAGGCAAAGTCCTCAATAATGTTTTCAAAACCCAGAGAGGTTGTAAATCCATTCTCCATTGCCAACAGTAAAAATGCATTCAGTTTCTTTTCTGTAATTGTTGCAGAAAAATATGCAGTAGTGTTGTAACTCGCTCCAGGGCCTCTGGCTCTGATAATAGCAGGTTGAAAGCAGTCAGATGGCTGCCCGACAAAAACTTCTAAAAAGCCACCCGCTGCCTCTTCTTTTGCTCCTCTTCTTCTTGTTTCTTTTTACGTTTTGATGCACATGAAAGAATTTTCAATATTAAACCTGCTCCTGCCTACTAGCCTAACTGTCCCTCCCTGACTGGTTTTAAAGTAACGTAAATTATCTAACGCAAGTTATATTATGTAAAGAAACTTTAAGATAAATTATATATATATATATTCTTAGTTTTGTCCCTCTGTCTGCCCGCATGCCAGTGGGGGCCACCCTTAGCCAATCAGTGGATACCCCTGTGGCCACCTCTACCAGGTGATCCCATGTGTAATAATTTACAAGCTCCTTCCCTCTAAAACAGACTGCGGCAGCAGTCATACTTTCACGTGGAATGTTTTAACCAATTTTTAATTTTTAATTTATATATATTAACAATGAACTGACAAAATATATATATATATTATTACTTACATCAATATACTACAGTAAAACATGATAAATGTAGAATTGATCCTCTTTTTAGAACTAGATTACATGTTTTAAGGGCTGAAGAGAAAGTTATGTGTCTCTAGAAGAACTTAATTGCAATCAGAGATAAATATCAACTAAATCAATCTAATGTATGTATTAGTATATTTTAATATTAATATTATGATGAGCAATTATTATGATAAAAGTATAGTTGACCAATTTTCTCCAGAAATGTATGTAAGAAATGACAATGGATAATAATGTATTTTTATAATTATTACAGGCTGGAAAATAAAGAGTTTTTCAAATGCATAATCAAAATATAAATGTTATTATAACATTCGTGCCCATACTAAGTTGTTTTCTTCTTTGCTTTTTATAAGATTCTGATTGACAAATTACAACATGCTTGCTTGCTTTTAGATTCCAAGTAAGAAAAACAAAAACACTTCTATTTTCATTTTCAAATACAATAGGAGGCTTATTTACATGACAGTTTTGTTAGGAATAATATAATCTTTATTAAATAAACCCAAAATGCATGAAAATTTAAATACAACATTTAACAAATTAGTCAAGCAAGTAAAACACTTTTAATGATTTTCTACATTAAATACTCCTTTATATTCATGAATAGCTTAGTTGGCATCATTTCAATCCCAAATGTCAACCGTTTCAGTGAAGAATCTGACAAGGTTAGTCTAGCTTAACGAGATTCCAACCGATTACTTAGAACTCATGTTATCAGATGGCTTTTAAAACACTTCCTCTATATGCACATACACATCTTAAGATCTCAGGAGACAGGATACTGAACCTCTGAGGGATGGCTGGTAAATCCTCATTAATCACAGTTCACATCAATTAATGTCCTTGTTTGTATTTTTAAATTCAGTGTTTCTCTGCAGACAAGGAGCTTTCCAGAGTGAGAGGGAGATTTGTGGAAAAAGTCTCAAAACCTCTAATTAAGCAGCTGCTGGATGACCTTTTGGAAGATCGTCTGCTGAACGATGGGGAAACAGACTCTGTGCTTGAGGACTGCTCCGGGAAAGCAGACATGGCTCGCTGCCTCATCGACATGGTGAGGAAAAAAGGGGACAAAGCCAGCAGGAGGATGATTGAACATCTTGAAAAAAGAGATCCTACACTTCACTCTGAACTTGGCCTCAACTCTAAACCAATGGCAGGTCAGATCAAAGTAAAATAATTTGTAGTTTAATGCTTAAATAAACATAATTTGTCTATTGTGATAACAGAAATGTTTTTTTTTTCAGTTCCAGCTCATCAGAATCAGCCCTCCTGGTCAAACACACTTGTCACCACGACCGACTCCTTCTACAACGAAAAACGCAATTCTAAAGATGTAATTTCTTTCATTTAAAAAGTCTTTAATTGCCTCCTAACTCTTTTAACTACTGTGATCACACAATGTTGACTATATTCACTAACAGAGGGCGTTTAAATAAAAAATAGCAAATTTCAAAGTGCACATACATCAAAAATGTAACAATTTTATCAGGCTTTTTTTGTACCTCCTTTAATTTTTCAGGTCTACAGCGTGTCAGAGAGTTCCCTAAGAAGCCGCGTGGCTCTTTTAATCACTAACAAAAATTTTAAAAATCCAAGATTAACCAGAAAGGGAGCTGAGAGAGATGAGGAGAACATGGAGAAACTGCTCCTATCCATGAAATACGAAGTGGTGAAGCACAACGACCTCACTGCACAGGTAACGAGAGCCTCCTTCTTTCCCCATTTCATAGTTATCAGGATTAAAGTTATTTTCTGCTGATAATGCATTAATCTTTATTAATGGATATAGCATCTGTTATTTTATGTCTTACTTTGAAATGAGACAAAAGTTAGAATAAGTGATTAAATAAAATATTTTTGTTCCATGATCACTAAATATAATGTTTCCTCATGCAAAGCTGGTATGGAGACATTAAACAAAAGCTTCGTAGCACAAGGATGCACAAAAAAAAAATAATGTAACTAATTATTTGAATGGAGTAAAAATATTTTTTTTTACATAATGTAGGAAATTAAAAGTGATACAAATAGTTTTGTAAGGCACTGTTCCTCTAATGACAGATGAGCACATTGCATGTCAACTCTACTGTCACGGCAACATGTCTGCAGGAAACAGGAAAACAGAAAAAAAAATGTTGTTTTTTTTGTTGATTGAAGAACCTGCTCTTAAGATTGAAAGATGACTTTAAAGTCTGGAAGTTATTACTGCATATCTGCTGAGAGAAAATACTCACCGGTTGTAAGTGGGCATGTAGGTAATGACAGGATATTTTAGTTTTTATAATAAGATATACATTTCTGTAGAAGCTGGTTTGTTTAATCAGAACATATGTTATCCATAGATATCTTGTATGTTCTCATTATGTGGTGACTTGAAATTTCTCCATTTCCTTACAGGGGATGAAGAAAGCTCTGGAGGATTTCAAAGAGCATCGAAAGCTCAGAGACACAGACAGTGTGTTTGTGGTAATCATGTCTCACGGAAAACGGGAATTTGTTCTTGGTGTTGACCACAGTGAGAAACAGCCAGATGAATTCCCTGTTGATGACATCTACAAATACCTGGGTCCACAGGAGTGCCCTGCCTTGAGGGACAAACCAAAGGTCATAATCATCCAGGCCTGCAGAGGAGGTAGCTACTACCTGACCTGGGTTAGGAGCTCCACTTTGGACTTCATCCAGATTTAATTTGTACTTCTTTCTGTTCCAGCTTCTGGGGGGTCTGTGATTGTTAGCGACAGTGCTTCAGCTGAGGTGGTCTCAGATGATGTGTCACAAGTGCCTGCTAATTTGGGCAACATTGTTGACGATGCAATCAAATACGTTCACAAAGAAAAGGACTTCATTTCCCTCCTCTCCAGCACTCCTGGTGCGTTGCTAACTGAAATTTGTTGTTTTCAGAACTTAGCCTAACCTTTGAAAGATAACTGTGGGTTTTTGCAGACACTGTTTCCTACAGAAGAGAGGATTTGGGTTCCTTCCTGATACAGTACATTGTTGAAGTATTCAAGACCTGTTCCCATCAGGACGACATTGATGAACTTTTCAGAAAGGTAAAAGTTTTAGTACGAAAGTAGATTAAACACCAGAATAAACAAAACACCTAAAGCAATTAGTCATTATCTCCATTTTTTATTGACCTCTGCAGGTCATGCAGCGCTTTGAAGAGTTTCCTGATGAAACCAAAAGACAAATGCCAACCAAAGACCGATGCACTCTCACCAGGCGCTTCTACCTTTTTCCTGGTCAGTGAGGCAGCATAAAAGTTCGGTAAACCCATCAGTTGTTTAGCTAACAATGCTAAGTATTCTTGCTGTTTGAGAAAAACAAAACAAAGAAAAAAAACCCAACACCTTTTTAAACTAATAAAACCCCTCTAAAAGACACTAAACATAATATCCTTTAAAATTCAGTGAGAAAAAAGGCCAATGCGGGGCTAACTTCTATTCTGAAATCATTTAGGCTGGAGTGAATGGGGTATTTTTTAAAGGAGAATACATGTACTTAAATTTGATTTGATATCATTTGGAAAGTTATCTTTTTCTACTGTTGTTAAAATAACGAATAAAAATGTGAAGAAAAACGTGGTCTGGTCCTATTTTCCAGTTATTCATTTGTGTATTTACTTTTATTGCCACATGTTTATAACAACAGCAAAGTAGCAGAGTGAAACTTAATTTAAATTAGTGGTGGGCTGTTATCGGCAGTAACACTTCCAAGCTGTGTAGGCATACTGTAAAATCAACACATTGAATGTGACATGCTGATATAGATGCAGCTATAAGCACAATTTTATCAGCATGGCTGATGGGGTCAACTCGCGCTGGTGCAAGTGACCGATCTTACAAATTTATTCGCAAAACAACTGATAAGAAAATCTGATAAGTCACACAGCCCTCAATCATCAGTCCAGGAGGTATAGGGTAACATAAGACATCCATCCATCCATTTACCGAAATGTTTATCTCCGCTGGGGTAGCGAGGGGTGCTGGTGCCTCTCCAGCTGTCAATGGGCAAGAGGCGGGGTCCACCCTGGACAGGCCGCCAGTCCATTGCAGGGCAACACAGAGACAAACAACCATTCATGCACAAACTCACACCTAAGGAGAATTTAGAGAAGCCTATTAAGCTAAGAGTCATCTTTTTGGCCTGTGGGAGGAAGCCGGAGTACCTGGAGAGAACCTAAGCATGCACAGGGAGAACATGCAAAATCCATGCAGAAAGACCCTGGGCCTGGAATTGAACCCAGAACCTTCTTGCTGCAAAGCAGCAATGCTAACCACTGCTTCACTGTGCAGTGGACAGCAGCAACATAAGACATGCATGTTTAAACTTCAAAGGTTAGGGATGCTGCTTATCTAGTTAGGTAAGAATAACATAATTACGGTACAGTAAAGATGATACAGTCATGAACAAATAATGTGGACAAGAAAAAAGGTTTGGCAATGTGCAAGATAACTTTTCTAAAACAAAAAGGGTAGCAAAAGAGAAAAAAATTACACAAAACAAACAAACAAAAAAATCCATCTAAAATATATACGTACATAGATGTCATATATGATATATTGTCTCTGCAAACACTCTAGGTTTTGGGGCATCAGGCAAAAACTGATATTACAATAAAATTATCTCCATATTTAAACTTGGAAGGCATTAACAATGCAAATCTCTAATGATGCCTTTTAAAACCCACTTCCTCACTAAAAACACTTGGATGATGAGTTTGCAGCTCGATTTCTTTTACAGAATGCTGTGCTCAACTTGTTCTTAATTCCATGTATTTGAAGAGGACACTACAAAACGCGTCTGTTCCGGTTTTGCCAGTTCTGTGCAAGTCTATTTGTAAGTAACTCAAGTTCAACCAAACCTTTCTTACTACTAATGTAAAAAAATTTACAGCACAAAAAGCCTGTCTATTTGGTTCTTTAAATTCTCAAGAACTTATCAAAACATAGTTTTTAAAATCAGTCATGGGAAAAAGAAAACATGGACCAAAGACTGTTGGAGACAGGCAAAACGGATCAGCATTCTCAAGAGCAGAGGTCCCAAAACATTTCAGCCTGTGACCCCCCCAAATAATCCATATATTCATTTAATTTAATTACTTCCTAACATTGTGCATATAAATAAAAAAACAATTATATTCATTTTTAAATAAATCTTTTGTAAATTACTTTTAAAGTGTTTACTCAATCCTGCTCCTTTTTAAACTTGCATTTAATTAGGCCTTATAATGAACATGCAAATAATATTATTTGATGTTTGAAATAAATAAATAAATAAATAAATAAATAAAGAAAGAAGTATATTTTAATCATGTTTTAAATTAAAAGGAAAATATCATGCATGCGCAATAGAAACAATAGGCCAACACACCAGTAGAGGGCAGCAGTCTCAAAGGGTAACCAGATGACCTTTCGACTTTTAAAATTACACTGGTTATCATTATTATACCTTTTCTGTTAATCTTTTTTAGAGTTTTGTCATCACAAAAACCTAAAAAAGCTCTGACAAACACTTTTTCAACTTTCACTTGTTAGGCTTGTCGGAGAAGAAAGCATTGGCAAGTTTGTATTCAGTTTTTAGAGTTTATAATTACTAAAGCAAAAATGTAAATTGAAACTAAATACTCTTATTGTAGGCCAGAGGTCTGAAACCTTTACAACCAAGTGACATTTTTACATTGGTTAAAGCTAACAACATTGTTTAAAGCCATAAACATTGTGTGACATATCACTACAAATTTTTAACATAATCATCATGCCATTTCAAAAGTTTTAAAATGAAGGAAAAATAGAAAATAGAATAGAAAAAAATACAAAATTCCTTTATTGTCCCACAATGGGGAAATTTTGATGTTACAGCAGCAGCAAAAAGTTATTGCACAGTGGTCCTGCAACGTTGACCTTAGGACCTTTTCTATTTTTTTCTATTAAAAAACGTGTGTAAAGAGAAAAAATACATTTTACATCAGTTGCTGAAATCCCATTTAAGTCCAAAAATATCATCCAGCTATATTTAGAGCCAATTTATTTAACTAATTTAAGACAACTATTCAATTTGTTAATATTTCTATTTTTTCAAAGATTTGCAACTCTTCATCATTGTTAGCCAAAGTGATTAAGAGTCTATGTCATGTGTCTAAAGAGTCACAGGTTGCAGACACCTATTGTAGCCTCTGCATACCTGATTACAACTTACTATACCAAAATTGGTGAACATTAAAATATAAATACATAATCAAATTGATTTTGCAGCAGTATTTGTCCATATTGTTTATACCTGCTTGTCAGTGGACATGAGGGGAAAGAGACATTCAAGCACTTTTAATAAACCTGTCCACAAGGAGGAGGATGACAGTCTGCCACTGTTCCAAAAGAATAGTGGCAGACGTTACTTTTTAACGGAAGGAGCTCACAGTGGGTAAACAAAGAGAAGAAATGCGGTCATTACTGAATGAACAAAACGCAGACATAAGATGAAAAATCACATGGAAATTAGTGAATCCCTCATGATAAGGGTGGCCCAGATGGGGGACAGCATATCCACACAAAGATGTCAAAAATAAAGAGAAATCAAACTAACTCCCAACATCACTGATAAATGTTGATCTCAAAATAATCTCAAAAGCCCTTGCAAGAAGACTGGAAAAAAGTAGCACCTCTTTTAATACATCCAGATCAAACAGGCTTCATAAAGGGAAGACAGTTTTCCAGTAATGCACGTAAGTTAATTAATCTCATAGACTATTCTACTATCAACAACTTAGAAGCCACATTTGTCTCACTAGATGCAGAAAATGTATTTGATCCTGTAAAATGGAAATTCCTGTTTACTATACTATACAAATTTAGGTTTGGGTATCCTTCATAAACTAGATCAAAATTTGTATAGCTCTCCAAATGCCTGTGTCAGGCAAAATTCTCCAACCTTCGGCCTACAGAGAGGCACCAGAAAAGGATGCCCACTCTTTCCTTCACTTGTTGCACTATTATTGAACCCCTAGCAGCTGCCATCAGGCAGAGCAGAAATATAAAAGGCCTTGAGTCCCAAATTGTTGAGGATAAGATAAGTCTTTATGCAGATGATACAGTATATTACTTTTCCTACAGAACCCACAGGTTTCTCTTACTAACACAACTGCACTAATAAACAAGTTTTCAGCACTTTCTGATTACTCTGTTAACTGATAAAAGTCTATGATTCTCCCTGTAAATTGTATCTCTACAAATATATCAACTAATATGCTGAAGTCAGGAAACATTAGATACCTGGGAATAAACTCCCCCAGGCTTTCAGAGCTAACCAAGCTGAATCACAGTCAACTCTTAAAATCTATCGAAGATGAGCTCACAAGATTGAATCCCTTGCCTTCCCTTATCTGTTCTCACTGATCCCCACAAGATCATTGTCTGCTTGGTTTAGGTCATTACATTCTTGTATTTCTAAATTTTTACAGAAAAATAAACCAAGAATCAGCTTAAAAACTCTGCATCAGAATGTATGTAGCATACTAAAAATAAATAAATCCTCAAGGGTTGGGTAGCAAGGGAGGCTTCATATTTGTAAAGGCTCCCTTGAAAAAGTAAAACTATCCAGCACAACTATGGCAGTCAGAAATTCAGTCTACCTGCTAAGGACAAGAGCAGACTGCAGCGTGTAATCCGGTCTGCAGAGAAGGTGATTGGCTGCAACCTCCCATCTCTCCAGGAGCTGCACGCCTCCAGGACTCTGAGGCGTGCAGGGTAGATTGTGGCTGATCCCTCGCACCCCAGCCACAGATAATTTCAGTCACTTCCCTCTGGCAGGAGGCTGTTTTTTCCCATCTGCTACCGGCCTTATCAACAAGGCCAAGAGCCGCCCGTGACACTGGACAATGTTTCTCTCCCCCATTCGGGATTTCTGCGTTAAATTAACGCACAGTCTACTGTGTGTATATAGCTTCTGTGTATATATATATATATATATATATATATATATATATATATATATATATATATATATATATATATATATATATATATATATATATATACATTCTATCTTATTTTGTTTTTGTCTGCACCAACAACACCAAGTTAAATTCCTTGTAAGTGCAAACCTTCTTGGCAATAAACTTGATTCTGATTCTGACTGATGCTGAACAGGATAAGGGGAAAAAAATAAAGGGAAGAGTGTTTTAGAAAAGCAAGGGGCATGGGGCTTATCTTTTCATTTGTTTTTAAGAGTCTGAAATAACTTGCAGTTACTGATTTCCTCTGATTATCTAAGTTATTTTATATTGAAATATGTCTTATTAATTTCATTATGTCCTCTTTATTCTCTGTTGGACATTTTTTTTTCTTGTGTCCAAGTTTCTTTATCATCCTTTACTCAATGTATTCATTCTTAGGTCGGGTTGGGCTCTGTTTCTGGGTTAAACTCTTCTACTTAAAGCATCTGTGCTTTTCTAGCTGCCAGTGAGCTTATTATATCTGGTATTTTAGTTTTCACTGGCTCTTAGATTACTTCAGCTGTTTTACGTCCATAATCACGAAACTGGTTCTTAATCTGT